CGTGGCCAAAGGTCCTTGTGTAGAGAGCCCCGGGATGCGTTTCGGGAGGTCCCCGCAGGAGATGCTTTTTGTTGCTGTGCAGAGGGAAATCTGCATCTCAGGAGACTTCAGGCGATGAAGAGCCATGCGAGGAAGTGTCACTGAACACTAAATCAAGACCTCGGCCTGCAGATTTGTTCACTTGAGAATGCAATTTTCTCTTGCCTACAAGCTTGTTTGGCACTAAATTGAGCTTTCAAAACATTCCTTGCGCAGTGTTTTTGGGAGGAGGAAGGGAGTGAGTGAGTTATGTTAGTGCTTAAAGCAAGACTTCATGTAGGAGGCTCCAGGGATGAGATAAAATTACAGCATTTAAATGCTAACAGGTGGATTTCTGACTCTCGCAGTAAAGGATGTGCTTTTACCATCCTGAAAGCCAGGAAATCACTTAGAGAAGGAAAAAAAATAATTAACTATCCTTCTTTGTTGCCATTTTCTGTGGAGCGGAGACCTTTCCTGCAGCCGGAGGGTCTTTCTGCTGTTAGCGCAGCCGCGAGGCCGCCCGGCCTTCTCGTGCTTTGGCAACAAGTGCGCGAGTTCCCCTGCCAGGACCGTGCCGGGCTGCTCGTGCAGGTGCCCTCCGTCTGCCTTAGCCTCTGTTTACAGAGACTTTCATACTTTAATCTCCATGATAAAAGGTATGGAAGCAGACCGTGGCTTTCCAAGTGCTTCCCCATCCGTTTCCCTGTATTGGGAAAGGCGCCACCGGCCCTGTCTGCTGCCTCCCGGCGCTGGCTCCGGGGATGCTCCCTCTCCGGGACGCCGGGCACGGTGCAGAGCCGAAGCCTGCGCCTGGGGGGAGCTGCCGAACGCTTCCATGCGTTTTGGTGCTTGCAGGAGACAGTTGAACCCTGGCCAGGGCTCTCTGCGCTGGCTCCTCATTGCTGCGGGAGGCAGTCGTTACGCGAAACGCCAGGGCTCGCCGGACGAATCGGAGGGCTAGTCGGGTGCTTTCCAAAATTCCTGACTTTAAATGGAAACCGTGCAGCCCTAGGTGCATCCCTCCCGTGTATCGGAGGCCGGCGGGGCCGCGT